AGGGAAGGGAAGGGAAGGGAAGGGAAGGGAAGGGAAGGGAAAGGAAGGGAAGGGAAGGGAAAGGAAGGGAAGGTAGGGGAGGGGAGGGGAGGGGAGGAGAGGAGAGAAGAGAAAGAAAAGGGGCAACTTATAGACTGTTTTGAAAGATCATCTTATATAACCAGTCAGATTACAGCAAAAAGAGATGAAAATACTGGTTAGACAATTGATTCAGCAGATATGTGTTATGTTGGCCCTGATGGACTGGTGACAGTAGTGGAGGTCCATTCCGTGTCTATTTTGAAAGGAGGGCTGAGATTTGCAGCAAAATCAGATTCAAAGACCAGTCTCAACACTCTACCCAGGCACTTCAGCCTGAAACTGGGAGAAGAGTAAGAGGGGAAGGGCGGAGCTGTAGGGAGAGTGTGTATGGAGGTGAGCTGAACAACCCTGAACACAACATCCACTGAAACCAGTGTTTCTTTATTTGTGAGAAGGAATACTTCTATTTCCAATTCATCGTGGACTGACACTTTTGTAAAATGTAGTAAAAGTGAATTCCTGTAAACATGGCATTGAAAAAGACAAAGGCATACAAAATGCAAGTCTGGATTCTTATTAGATTCAACAGAAGGAAATGAAAACATCAGCTTGTCATAAGAGGTTCTAAATGCTTACTCTCAGGGCAGAACAGTAATAAAAAGTTCATACTTCCGATGGTCCACAGGATACACTTTAAGAATCACTTGTTATTATTTAATCAATAATGTTTAAATGGCTTGTCAATCCATTAAAGGCGAGTTCAAATAACATAACTTAGCGTACTCATCACAAAATTGATCCCAGACAGTTTAGCTCTTCAATATTTCAGGTATGGAAAAGAGGAAGATCATGTCTCACACAGTGGCAAATTTATATTTGATGTGAACTTTTGCAAAGCATGATCCAGAAAGAAAAGAGAAACCCGGTGGGCAGAAAATATCTAAGAAGATGGCCCAGCGCGGGGGGAGGAGCTGGAGCCATGACTCTGATAAAGGAAGTACTTGTCACTTGAGACTGGAAAGTGCTTGACCAGGCCTCACAGTGAGCAAACCCAGCATGATCCCTTTGTCGCTGAGCCAGAGCCTAGCATAGCAACTGGACACTCATCAAATCACCAGTGAAACAGATCATCACAAGCGGTGAGAAGAAAGATCCATCATGACTTCCTCAGAACGACTGAAGAACTTCCGAGTGAGAGTTTATAAAGCTAAGTGTTTATTCCACGGCATAGAAAGAGAAGCTTAGGGGGAAGAAAAACAGCCCAAGGAAAATCCTGACACAGACAGGAGGGCAATCGCCCAGTGGCTGAGAGCATCAACTAGTATCCTGGGCCCGGATCGTGAGTGAAGATTGGGGTCATCCTCCCATGAGAAGGGACGAGCCACAGAGACGTTTTAAGACTGGGAGTGTCAAGATCACATCTGTTCATGTTAAGAATGACTCTAGCTCCTGGTGAGATCAGATTGAAAGGGAACAAGGTTTCCTCTGCATGGTTAGGAGGCTGTTCAGAAGAGATGCAGTAGCCTTGATGAGGATGGTGACCACCAAGGTGGAGGGTAGATTAAGTGGATGTTTGGGAGACAGAGGCATTCGAGAAGCATGAAGGAAAAAAGAAATTCAACACAATTCAAGGAATGGTCTTCTGGTAATATAACCAAGAAGGCAGGAAGGAGGCAGAGGAGGTAGGGCAGAAGGATCAGCACCACGTTGGAAAGGCAGGACCATGAAAAAAACTCATACACAAATAACAGGGCCGTCCCAGGGAGCGAAGTTAATCAGCTTTCACCACTTTATGCCAATGACTCAATCCCATTCGTTTTGATAGAAACATTTACTTTTAAGTGTATTTACAGTGGCAGGCAATTTATCCAAGCATTAAGACCCTGCACTGAATTTTCATAGGCTAATCAGCACCTGACGATTTATTACTCAGAAGGAAATCTTAGACTTTGCATTTACATGAAAATTAATCAATTTGTTATCAAAAAGGGATAGCACATATGGGCATAATCAGATCTCTCTACAGACATTCTGATTGAATTGCTTTGAGTTAGAATATCACAAAATCAAGGAGAGGGAGACAGACAGACAGAGACAGGGACTGAGATGACATGGTGTCTAAATCGTTCTGCATACTGGGTGAAATAACTCATATAAACTGGAGCAGAACCACAGCAAATTAATTCTCTGTGCTGTTTGTTATCTGAGTCATATATTCCTACCCTGTTATCAGAGATTGGTGTATACATTATTTACTTTACAAAGCATTTCCTGATAACTTAAAGGGAGAGCAGTTTCTCTTTTCAGGCAGTTAGAGAGGACATTCTCCAAGCGGAGTCAACTTTCCCTCTTTAGCTTCCTTCTCCAGATCTAGCAGGCTAAGTACAGGAAACAAACGGCATTTTTAGAAGTGACTTGCAGATCCTGCTGTTTCTAGCAAGATCTTCTTCCACAGCAAACTCGACATCAGGAAAGTTGTCAACCCATACAGTATTAACTTTCACTTAACAACTCTGAAATTTGGATCTCTGCTGACCTTGCCTTAGAACTCAATCAGAATGAACCTGAACTCCAAGAAATCGACCTTAAGCTATCTGCAAGACCAGAAACAACAACAAGCCCCCTCCTTGTAATATCTGCAGCCTGGAGGGGAAAATCGGCAGCAAGACAAAGCAGCCCACAAGGCAGGTTCAAGGGCACTTACATATATCTGATTGTTCCCAAAGCGCTTCTGAATTTCATAAAGCAGACTGCCGTCATTCAGCTCACTGAGCGTTGCCAGGTCATCACTGGGAGCGGGAGGCATCAGCTTGACCTGGGGGAAAAATGAAGTAAGATCAATTCTAATTGCTTCCCAATCAACTTTCTCCACAGTCGGATGTGCCATTTCCAATTACATGTCAAAAGTTTAAAGACCACGTGAGTTTGAAACCATTATTAAAAGATGAAATGGTTCACTTAGAAGGAACAAAAAAGACAACAGCCACAGAGAAATGTATTCCGATGAGAATTTCTGTCCTACGTCTGTGGACGCACTCACAGGCACTAACACAAGCACCCCAGGGCTACCTTCCGTCCTGCAAAGGCATCAGTCTGCCAAAATCATGTCAGCACGTCGACTTTCCTAGTCCCCACTTAAAATGTAGACAGCTCTGAGCTGTTCTGCGTCCTCTATGACCAGCAGCTGAAAAGCTCACATATCTGCAGTGTTTCCAAAGCTAAAGCAAAACTTCTCCTATTACTGTTGTTGGCATGGTGAAGGAACCAGTGTGCCTGGAATTTAGTTTCCGCATACATGTAGGAGGAGGCCAGATTTTGAAAGAAGATTCTAGAATTTTGGCTTGGGATCTTTTATTCTTTTCTACATAACTCCTACAATGAAAGTAGCTGTGAGATTAAGATAATTCTGTCATAACGATAAACATGCTTCCCTATTCAACTTAATAGAAAATGACAGTTAAAAAACTGGGAAATATTTCAAATAAAAAAGATGAATTTGGATGATTCAATTAGATGGAAATCTATCATTCGCAAGTTAGGAATGGACCATGTTTAATTTTACATACACAAGATACGTTGTGCAAAACAGATGCTTGATCTACGAGAACAGCTTTGGTTTTCTTTTGTCAAACACAGAGGAGCCAAAGACCAAGAATATTCTTATCAAAGCCTCTGCGAGTTCATTGGTGCCCATAGTGAATTTTTAATAACAGCAAGTTTATTTGCGCCATTTGTATTCGTGTTTGTATTCTATATTTGCATTTGCCTTTTGTATTTATATTTGCATTACATATCTTAATATCGTATGTATCACTGTTAAAGAATTTGAACTTAAATATTACTGTTTATCAGCTAAATGTTTATGGCATTGACAAATACTACACATTAAAAAAAATCGTAAATGTAGGATGATCTCTCTGATATGAGTGACTGGTTTGCAAAATGCAATCTTTCTCAGGAGTTCATAAATTCAAGTCAGTGCTTTCCCAGGCTGCTTGTAATCCTAATGTATTCATAATGAAAACTCAAATTCTTTCCTGGGAATCGTTAAGTGGTCAGAAGAGTGGCTTGTTATGTCTTCCAGTCAGAAGGGTATCACACAGTGAGCTCTGGTATGAGAAATACCACCATTTATGTAAGTGGCAAACACCATATTCCAAAAGGAAGTTGTTTATGTATTAAAAGTTGATTTGTAAAATACTCCAGACTTCATGAAGGTCAAGAACCAGCCTCTCCTCGCCCCAAACCATGCACACACTCAGCCAACACTCTGAGTCCATATTCTTTGCTTTTGCAGCATTTAAAAGAAATAGGCCTCAAAATACCCTTCAGAATTAACCTGTAAAGAGCATATTACATAGTCTCATTAAAATTAGTCAATTAATTAATTTTAATTAGTTAGAGGCATAGCTGGAAGACTTTGATACTGTCAGAAATATTTACTTCAATAGTCAAGAGTAGAATCCAAAAGCTGGTACTTGTGGCTAATAAAAATTGAATGCCCCTCCTCTCCTGATATTCTTCTGGGTTGTCAAAATCAATTCTGGGATTGTGTGATATCTGTTTTTGTTTTTTTGGTTTTTTTTCACATTAAACACTTAGTTGTACTTTGAAGAGTCTCGTAGGCCCGAAATGCTGCCGGGGAAGTGACCAACAGTCTGCTTGACCCAGGCAGCATTCCACTCTATGTTTTTCATCAGTCACGCTGATTTGGGTAAAAATCTTACACACTGAACTGAGCTTCCCCACCTTAAAAATGCTGGAAACTGAAGCATATGTAAGGCATCGATTACTTTTGTACTCATGGGGATGAATGCGTTTAAATCTCAGTGGCAGATCTTCCCGGCTGGGGGACCCTGAACCTTTTTCTTCCCTAAGTCACTTTCATTGTCTTTCATAATACGGAAGATGATGGTGTGTCCCTCACAGGAGGCTGTGGGAGGATGAGTTTGCATGGAGGCCCAGCAAGGTGTCTGGTCTGCAGGTAAGTGTGTAGTAACAGGGTGCATCGTTATCTAGTGAAACATCTGGAGAGGGCCGTGAGCACCACAGGTAAACTTTCTGCCAACTTCCCTGAGGGCTGCCTTTGGAGGAAGGCGGGGGGGGCAAATCTGCAGAGGGCTCTGGGCCAATCTCTGCGGCTCTCAGCAGAGACCCTCAGCTTTCATGCGCTCTAAAAACTGGAATTCTCTTTCACATATCGTTTTGGGAAAGGATCTGCTGTGAAATAATAATTTTGAAAAGTTTGAAACTCGTGAATATAATCCAAAGGTAGATGCCGAACTTATGGCCCAGAGAGGTCGCACAGTTTCCCTGGAGTCACACAGTGGATAGGTCAGAAGGGGAAGCTGGGACAATACCCATCAGGGAACAGTGGAGAAAGTCTAGCAGATAATGAATAAACCGACAACGTATATTCAATCACTCCCCTTTCTTTTCCTGGCTCACGGGCCCTTTGCCAGGCGCTGCGCTCAAGGTTTAGTAGAGAGAGGGAGCAAAAGAATGAGGTCTTGCACCTCAGAGCATTGACCGTTCGCTGGGAGAGAAGGACGGACGCAAGTAAGAAACTGCAGTTATAAGAGGTGCTATGAGGGAAAACAAGAGGATGCTGTGAAAAGTGAAAAAGCGCACTGTCGCTTGGGTGGTTGGAAGTCCTCCCAGATGAGATGACAGCAAAGCTGCACCTGGACCTGATCCGGCAAGGCAGCCCCAAGGGGTGCGTGCAGGCAGAAGGAAGAACTCAGTAAGGGCCCAAAGGTCCTGCCTGTGAGCTGCAGGGCGGGAGGAAACAGGGCAGGTGGTGGTGGAAGGGAAGAGGGATGCACCTGGGGGCAGATGCTGAGGCGACAAGAAGAGCTGCCACGCTCACCGTGGCTGGGATCTGCGCTGGATTTACTACTCGCGACCAGCGGAGACGAGATCGAAGGTTTACTTATACTGAGAGACAACTGCACTGTATCCAGGATCACAGACGCAAGTGTGTGCCCTTAAATATGAAGGGAATTCAGAAAATAAGTACAAATGGGTACGCACGTATTTCCAAGAAATAAAAAGCCTACTGGCAAAAGTCTTTATATAGAGAGAGACATAAAAGGAAATTTTCATTATCAATTTGGAGACGAATGTAAATATCTTTTCTTCCCAGGGTCTTTACGAGCATTTCCTGAAAATGAAAAATGTATACGTCTACATACACACAGATATGCACCCCAGAAAATGGATATGGATGTGCAAATGTATATCCACACACATTATACACGCACACGCTAATACACGCACATATACACATTCATGCATATACGTGATATGGTACAAGCCAACAATGGATTGCAATAACTTTGAACAATGCAAAAATAAGACAAAAGTCTCCATCAAGTTAGCATACATATTTAACTCCCAAAGCATCATAAAAAGGGGACAAATCAAAAGCAAGATTTTTTCTTTAGAAGAAATGGTTTACATTTCTTAGATAATAAACTTCCTCTTATAACCACAGCGCTAACAAGCTCAATGCAAATTTCTGGGTGTATGTTTAGAAAAAGCAGGAAGAGTGCTAACAGAAGTCCCACATTTGTTCCGACAAGCCCAAAAGAGTTATTGCAGACATCTCGTTGGTATTCTTGAGGATTTCCATCTACAGTGGCACAGCTGTTTCTCGGGTTAGGGAAAATACTAGGCTGACAGTAAAAATGGGAAGACGCCCTAGCAGTAATGTGACAAATACAGTGTGAGAGCCGGTCAAGGGAAGCATTCCTTGCATTCATCACATCAGGACCCCAAAAGGATCAGGAAGGAGGCTTTCCTAATTGATGTTAAGCAAGGCCATCAAAGGGACACATTCTTTTTTTTTATTTTTTTATTGTTATGTTAATCACCATACATTACATCATTAGTTTTTGATGTAGTGTTCCATGATTCATTGTTTGTGCATAACACCCAGTGCTCCACACAGAATGTGCCCTCTTTAATACCTATCACCAGGCTAACCCAACCCCCCACCCCCTCCCCTCTAGAACCCTCAGTTTGTTTCTCAGGGTCCATCGTCTCTAATGGTTCGAAAGGGACACATTCTTTATAAAGACTTCAGAAGCCCAGGGACACCTGCTAGCAAGTGGAAAGAAAAAGAAAAAGGCACCTCTGAATATTTTTATGTTATAGTTGTCGGCTGGATAACGTCTACGGCCAAAGTCCGCCGAACAATTATAACAAGGCAAAACAGAGATGGGATAAATACGTAAAAAAGGTTAACATCCTCTCTCTAGGACTGACCACTATGATTTCTATGAAGATATATATCCCTATCTATCTCTGTAAAAGGAGAGATCTAGAACATAAACTAGAAATCATTCAGGATAGAAAGCCAGGACGAACTTCAGAGAAACACTTTGAGAAATGTTTCGAGATCCAAAGGGAACTTAACGTTTGGGAATATTCTGACTTCCCCGATTCCTGGTCTCCACTTGTCAACACTGCATGGCGCGCCGTCCCCTTTACTGTTTTGTTCGTTTGTGACTTCCCCTTTGGGAGATGAGCAGTATGGGTGCGGAAACTACAAGTCCCATAGATAAAAGAGGTGGACTGACAAATGGGAGAAGAGAAACAGTATTTTGAGGAGAGGAAAGAACCGAGTATTCAGGAATAAAGAGGAAAGAGGAAGTCAGGAGAGAAACCAGGTGACCGGGATGGTCCTAGCAGGGAAAACGGTGATAATCTGACAAATACTGTTTTCCAAAGTTTAAGCTCATCCCCATGCCCAGACAGCATTTTAATTATTCCACCCCCTGCTTCCATTCTTCTGTTAGATGTTTGTATGACAGTAAAACCTATCAGGTCCTTTTACTTACTAGTGCTTTGCCTGGCCAAGGATTTAACACTTTCATGTACATGGAGATGGGTGTGTCTGTGCACCACAGGAAGAGAATTCTCACCCATCTTCAAAACCCCTGTAACACACATGCAGCCGTGGATCGCCAACCTCCTCTCCTGTTTATAGAAACATCACAGGTCCACAGGGCTCCAGAAGATATTCCTTGCGGTGCCCCCAATACAGAACGGGATCCAGCGTAAAAGAAATACTTGTGATTCTCTGCAATTTGCTTACAGTTCTGGAGTTTGATCATTTTGTAACTTAATTTGCGGGCGCCTGGGTGGTTCAGTCAGTCGGGCGTCCGACTCTTGATTACAGCTCAGGTCATGATCTCAGGGTCATGGGATGGAGCCCTGTATAGGGGGCTCTGCACGTAGCGGGGAGTCTGCTCTCCCTCCCCCTCCACCCCTCCCCCACTTGCACACGTGTGTGCGCACGTGCGCACACGCTCTCTCTCTCTCAAATGAATAAATAAATCTTTAAAAAAACCTTAATCTGTAAACTGAGTGTAAGCTAAGTAATGAAAAGGGAAAATAACTTGCCCACAGTGTTATTTTGAGGATTAAGACAATGCAGGTGAATGCATGTTTAAGCATTGCAATGTTCATATAAAGTATAATTTTGTATTATTATTGTCTAAGGACATCTATGTTTGCACTGATAAAAATAAAGTGCAGTGGAGGTGTTGACTGGAATTACATCAAGAGCAGATAAATTCAGCCATTCTGGATAAACCTAACATACAGTCAGTCTATATCAATAACAATAAAAACATAAATGCATCTTAGTGCATTTTTACTCTATTCTTGGCAAATGTGTTATAACCATATAGCCCTCATTTCTGTCAGCTCCGTAACAACCCTGTGAGACCTATACCATGTACCCATTTCACAGATGGGGCTTATGAGGTTAAGGAACCTCCGAGTCATAGACTTTCAGCAGCAGACCTAACCAGACCATCTGCCTTTCTCTGAACTCCCAGACTAATGTGCCTTCACTCAGTGGAATAAAATTGGAATTTCAAGTGTGAACTAAATTTAAAGAAATATATTCACAAAGGAAGGAAGTGGAGGAAGGGAGAGGGGGAAAAGAAGTCAGACAATTAGAGAATGAAGGAAGAAGGTGGGGGAGGGGAAAGGGAGGGAAAGGCAGAGTGGAAAGGAATTTAAAGGAAGAATGTCTTGCACACTTTTAAGCAACTGAAGAAAAATTGTACCTTCTCAGAGATATTATGTGTTCATTTTCGTGATTACCAGAACCAAAAAAAGTTTAAATCAAACCTTGAATATTCACTCACACAGTTACCATTTGATAAAACCTCCATTTTATAAAAATCTGAAAGGAGAGATTCTGTGGCTTTTGTTTCAATTTTTTAAAAAATTTTCGACATTACATATTTCTCCTTAAGATGTTAATCAGAGGGTGCCTGGGTGGCTCAGTTGGTTAAGCGACTGCCTTCGGCTCAGGTCATGATCCTGGAGTCCCGGAATCGAGTCCCGCATCGGGCTCCCTGCTCAGCGGGGAGTCTGCTTCTCCCTCTGATCCTCTTCCCTCTTGTGCTATCTCTCATTCTCTCTCTCTCTCAAATAAATAAATAAAATCTTTAAAAAAAAATTAAAAAAAAATTAAAAAAAAAAGATGTTAATCAGAATGTTCTTGCTTTGACAAGTCTTTTCTAAAGCTCTCTTACGAAATGTGAAAATTTAATCCAGTCAGTGGATAATGTTGGTCTTCCATGGGAGAGAATCACCCGCACACCTCACGGCCAAGAAGAATTGCCCACGGTGCCCACAGCGGGAGATGAGAGCCGATGAATGTTCCATCGATAATGTATGAACGCAAAACCTGAATAACAGCTGCTCCCTCTTCAGTACCAAACAAACAGAACATGACTGCAACTGCCTTTAATGTCTAGGATATAATTATAAATTGTATAATTATAAAGAGCTTAACATTAAAATCAGAAAGGCTATTCTATAAGGCTTATACTTGACATCATGTTGTATCTTCTCTTTTTTTTAAGATTTTAATTTTTAATTTTTTTTTAAGATTTTATTTATTTGAGAGAGAGAGAGAGAGAACATGCGTGTGATGGGGGGAAGGGGCAGAGGGAGACGGAGAAAGAGAATCTCAAGCAAACTCCCCGCTGAGCACAGAGCCCCACAAAGGGCTCCATCTCAGGACCCTGACTGAGATCATGACCTGAGCCAAAACCAAGACTTGAACGCTTAACTGACTGAGCCACCCAGGTGCCCCTAAGATCTTAATTTTTTAGAGCAGTTTTAGATTCACAGCAAAATTGAGAGGAAGGTACAGAGATTTCCCATATACCCCTGTCCCCACTGGTACACGGCCTTCCCCACTATTAATACTCCCCACCAGAATGATGACATTTGTTACAGGTGAACCTACATGGACACGTCACCATCACCCCAAGTCCATGCTGTACATCAGGGCTCACTCTGGGTGATGTGCATTCTGGGAGTTTAGACACACGTGTAATGGCATGCATCCAGGACTATAAAATCATACAGAGCAGTTTCAATGCCCTAAAAATCCTCTGGGCTCCACCTCTTCATCCCTCCCCCCACCAACCCAGGCAACCAGTGATCTTTTTACTGTCTCCATGGTTTTGCCTTTTCCAGAACGTCAAATACTAGAATCATGGTGTATATGTCCTTTTCAGATGGGCTTCTTTCACTCAGTAATATGCATTTAAGGTTATAGGAAGTTCATAGGACCCTTACAAAAGTTAAGAAAGGACTTTGCCTTACATCTTACCTAACATTCAATTTGCCTACTGCTACGGACTGAACTGCATTCCTCTAAATTCATGTGTGGAGGCTCTCAATGTGACTCTTTGGAGATGGGGTCTTAAGGAGGTAATGAAGGTTAAAGGAGGTCATAGGGGTGGGGCTCTGATCCCATAGGACTGGCATGCTTACAAGAGACACCAGACAGTTCATTCCTCTCTCTGTCTCTGTTTCCTCCCCCGCCCCCCACTGCCCATGCAAGGACACAGGGAGAAAGCAGCCAGGAAGGGGGTGTTCATCAGAAACCTTACCAGCAGACACCTTGATCTTGTACTTCAAGTCTCCAGAACTGTGAAAAATAAACTGTTGCCTAAGCCCCCCCAGTTTGTCATATTTTGTTACAGCAGCCTAAGCTGACAAAGACACCTACTGAAATTTAAAAGTATCTCAAAATTGCAAAAAATATTTGTTAGTTATTTTGAAATAATAAAAATTAATGAAACTAAAATTAAATCTTGAAAAGATAGTCTTAGAAAAATCTAGCTAAAATGTCTTTAATATATTCAAAATAAGATCCAGTGAAACAAACCAGTTACAAGGATTACGCTGACATTTATAAAATTACTCTGCCATTTATAAAACATGAAGCATATAAACATCATTGATTTCTCTAGGGAAATGTACTAATTTCTATAACCCCAAGCTCATCAAAGTGATCTCCCATAACGTGGGCACTGTGGCACGCACGTACACCCCCCCACACACACACCCACAGTTACACACCAACAGATACTTTTCATAAATGACTCTTAGTGATTGATTTTCCTTTCTTCTTGTTACATAAAATATTTGGATCTTTGAAGGAAACAAAAAGCATACCCTACATAGTAATCAAAATGAGGACTAAGGACATAATTGGAAATATTCAGGAATTAGCATACTGGCTGAGCTTACATTCTTGATATATAAGTCAAGATATATATAAAATTCAAATCCCTGTACAACATAATAGCAGCTATCTTTGTTAATGGTCACTATAATATCATAACAGTTTACATATGGGAATTTAAAAAAACATTAACCTTTGCATTCATGAATCTTTCTTTGAATGGAAATTTGTGGGTGTTTAGTTTTGAAATGTTGGATTTTTAAGGATGACGTAATAAGCAGGCATGCAGTAAAGGTGTACTTACCTGCTCAGGTTTTGTGGGGCCGTTCATCGTAGCATTTTCAGGGATGCTGTCTTGAGACTGTCGCTTGCATAGACCTTTGGTGGCATCTTTGAACATAATGTCTTTCTCCAACATACTGTCTTGCTTGGCAATTGGCAACACCAGGGGACTGCTACAGAAAATAATCAATACTATAATTAGTCTTCTGCTAACATTGCCATATTAATCAAAAAGAACCACAACAGGACAGCTCAATTATAGAAAGTTGTTTTATTCAGATAAGAAACCATTTCTTGACACGCAGGGGGAAAAAAACGGTCAATGGGGAATCTGTTAACTTTCTCTTAGTTCTAACTTCCATTCAATTTCAACTTTAAAAGAAAAATATATTCACTTCAACTTGAGAAGAAAATGTTTACAAATGTATATATGACTGTAGGAGACAAATCAATAAGCAACTTATAAGCTAAGGTTGAATGCACAACTGAACTAAGCAAGATATTTAAAGGTGAAAGTGAATTGCAAACAAGTGAAGGCACAAATTATACAAAAATTAAAATATCGTTCATATACAACTTAAAATATGTTATGGAATCATGGGCAATATTTAGAGTTTGTAACGAAATAATTTTAGGGACAGTAGAGAGGAATGACATGCTCAAGGATTCCAATACTGCAAGCAATAACTCCTTACTTCACTACAGCTCAAACTAGGCAAAAAATAAAAGCTACTTCATTTTTTTTGTTGTTCCGTAGACCTCACTGCCAAAAGAAAGCTATTATTATGTAATGTCCATAAAAAATAAGCACAATCTAAATGTTTAATTTGCATTGTAACACTTTATGATAGTAAGATTTAAAAATGCATTTCCCTAAATGTTACCATATGAGCAGGAAGACATACATATTTAATCAAGTGCAATACATATAAACGTAATTATTTCATGTATTCTACAATAGCACTTGTGATTCTAATTAATGCTTAAATGTACTTTTTGGTTTTAAAAAAAATCAGGTTTATTATGGTATTATCCACATACGGTAAATTTCACTTTGTGTAGATGCTCATGTACTATAGATGTCTATGTCAAATATATATATAGTTATACGTGGTTAAATATATACGTGTGTGTGTAACCCACGTAACCTGTGATATACAGGATTTGTATCACTCCCAACCATCTCTTTGTGCCTGCTCCGGGGAACCCATTGTCTCCACTAGCCTCCTGCCCCTTGCAACCACTGATAATTATTTCTTTCACTATAGTTTGGCCTTTTCTAAAATGTCCTATGAAAGGGATCATACAGCATGTAGCTGTTTGTATATGCCTTCACTGACTTAACATCATGTTTTTGTTTGTTTGTTTGTTTTTACAGTCTTCAGGTCTTTTATTTTCTTTACATTTATCATGCCATGAATTCATAGGGAATGGGTTCCAGTAGTTCGGGCTCCTTTCCATTGGTTCTCACAAAGTGTGCTTCTCTGGGTGGGGCAGGCTGGCGCTTCAGTTGAACCCAAGTACCTTTCTCTTTGGCTTTCTTCTTTTTCTGATCATTTTCCTTCACACGCTTCAGGAAGCTATCTCGGCTCTTTGAGTGTTTAATATGCTCAATGCGTACATTAATTCTCTTGGCAAGAATCTTGCCCTTAACTTGTTTGTTTACAATAATGCCAACAGCATGCTGAGTAACACTGTAGACTCTTCCAGTTTTGCCATGGTAACATTTGTGGAGCATTCCTTTTTGAACAGTGCCCATTCCCTTCATGTCCACAGTATCACCTTTCTTATAGATTCGCATGTATGTGGCCAAAGGAACAACTCCACGTTTTCTAAAAGGCCTAGAGAACATATAGCAGGTACCTCTCCTCTTTCCCTTTGTGTTGGTCATTTTGGCGAATTACTGGAAGATGGTGGTTCCGGCCAAAAGGCAGCTAACATCATGTTTTTGAGTTCATTCATGCTGCTTTATATACAATGGTTTGGTTTTTAGTGCTGAGCAATAGTCTCCTGGAGAATGCACTACACTTGGGTTGTCCATTCATCAAACATTTGGGTTTGTCCAGTTGTTGTCAAGCGTAAATATAAGTGTGTTTCAAAGAACATTTTTTTTTTTTTTTTTTGCCTATGGCTTGGGCTTCTTGTGTCTTATTTAAAAACTCTTTCCCTAACCCAAGGTCAAAAAGGTTTTCTCCTAGGTTTTATTCCAGAAATTTCATAGTTTCAAGCTTTACATTTGGGTCTATGATGCATCGTGAGTAGTTTTTGCGTATGGTGCTATGTACGAGTCAGGGTTTGTTACGTTTTCATATGGCTGTCCAAATGTTTCAGCATCATTTTTGAAAAGAACATCTCTCCCCAGCCAATTATCTAAGATACCTTTGTTAAGATTCAATTGACCATATATGTATGGGTCTACTTGGGGATGTTCCATTGTGTTCCATTGATGTAATAGTCTAGTCATACACCTATTACATTGTCTTGATTAATGTACCTGCACAGTAAGACTTGAAATCAAGTACTTTGACTCATCCAGCTTTGTTTTCTTTTGTTCTAGCTATTCAAGATCATTAGCATTTTCAAATAGATTTTAAAATCTATTGGTCAATTTTTATAAACATGCCTACTGGGACTTTTTTTTTTTTAAAGATTTTATTTTATTTATTTGACAGAGAGAGACACAGCGAGAGAGGGAACACAAGCAGGGGGGAGTGAGAAAGGGAGAAGCAGTCTTCCCACGGAGCAGGGAGCCCAATGTGGGGCTTGATCCCAGGACCCAGGATCGTGACCTGAGCCGAAGGCAGATGCTTAATGACTGAGCCACCCAGGCGCCCCCCTACTGGGACTTTGATTAGCATTCTGCTCAACTGATCAATCAACTTGAAGAGAATTTACATATTAACAATGTTGAATTCTGTCATCCATAAGCACAGTATATATCTCCATTTATTTTGATCATTAATTTCTCTCAGTATTTTGTAAATTTTGGCATTAAAGTCCTGCAAATAATGTTAGATTTATTTTGATCTTTTTATGTCATTACAAATGAATTTTTTATTTCAACCTCCTGTTGCTGTATACAGAAATGCAAATGATTTGGTAGACTAACATTCATAGGGGAGGAAGAGAGTCATGTGACCACAAGGTCTCACTGTTTGCAGACCATCTCTGGACCTTATCTTCCCGCTTTACCACAAGAGTCTAGAAAAATGTGGATAAAATAAGACCAGTAAATGGGCTACATGAGGGCCAGGGTTGAGGGAAAGGCCTGAGGAAGAGCTGAAGAACATATTTACAGAAATGTGAGGTCAATTTTACTTTCCTTGAGCTCTGGATGATGATGTTTTATTCAATGAGGAGATTTTTTTTTAAAGATTTTATTTATTTATTTGACAGACAGAGAGAGAGAGAGAGCACAAGCAGGGGTAGCAGCAGAGGGAGAGGGAGAAGCAGGCTCCCCGCTAAGCAGGGAGCCCGATGTGGGGCTCAATCCCAGGACCCCGGGATCAGGACCTGAGCCGAAGGCAGATGCTGAACCGACAGAGCTCCCCAGGTGCCCCCTCAATGAAGAGATTTTGAAGTAGGTGAAAAGGTATACTGACAAGAGACAGCAGGGGGCCAGGAGCTTATGTGTCTGAGTCAGAAAACTGCACTTTGATGCCGGCTTTGGCACCCAGGGGCAAGTGATAGAAGCATTCTCTAAAACCAATCTGCAAGAAAGGCCTCTACTGAGGGATTTCTAGCATCATGCACACAAAGGGCTTAGCACAGTGACTACAGTATTAAGCAGGCAATGAAAGTCGTGATTTGTGTGGGTCCAGCACTGTTGAAGCTTCAAGGATTTTGCTCTATTTACAAACTAACAGGTTAGCTAGTTACTACTTCATGGATAGGCGCGGAAGACAAGAGATTCCTGGATCTGAGACAGAAGACTTCATGACTCACGGCACACACAGGATCCAGAGGTTCACGTTTGACTATGTCCCATGGTGGGTAGGAGGGGCCAATACAGGGGAAACTACATGCACACCTACACGTGCAGTGTGTTGGTTTGGAGGTGAGAAACCTGGTCGGGAGTCAAGTATTTTTTTGAGCAATCAGCAAACGCAGCACCAAGCAGCAGAGAAGCCAGTGGCCCCCCGCCCCGGCCCCTGCCGGGTGTTTGCTCTCTCTGTGGTCTCCTTGAGCTACCTAACGGCCTGTATGACTGAGCACATATGCTTTGCATTCTGACACACTGAGCAACACTGGAGAGGGCAGACTATCTCTCTCAACAGTGTGCTTATTAATTTTAAAAATTCACCATAAAATGAGAATGTTTTTAATGCTTATAAAAATTTCATATCCAGATCTGCTGGAATACCATCAAGTGATAAGGTATTCATAACTTATTTCCTCCCTGAGCAACCGTGAAACAATGCTTGCTGTCCTAACTTGTATTCACCATTCCTGGAGCTCCCAGGTGTATCCTCTGTTTCTCCGACATGAGAACCCTTAAAATATGTGAAGACCATTGCAGTTGCCCTATATTTTCTATAATGTGAGTGGACCACCTATAAAACATTCTAATAATTAGATGGAGTTGAATGCATGATAATCTCCATTCTAAGTACTTTATACATATTAACTCTATACGTATTAGCTCATATTAACAGCATTATAAGGAATATCTACTTTTCTGCATATTTATAGGTGAGTACACTGGGAGAGAGAGAACGGGCTGTGGACACACAGTGAGGCAGGAGTGGAGGTGGGACTTGAGATACCAGAGCTCGTGTTCTTAACCACCAGTCACACTGCCCACATCCAAAATCCACCCTCATGCCTACCAAAGTATTTCCTTACTTATCCACCCTTGAATGTCAATCACCTCTTTTTTTCTGCTTTGTTAGAAAGTCTTCAAAGAAAAACTAAAGAGAGGCTTTGCATAGACTGTACCAGGTGTTTTGAGTATAAAGCGATGAAGAAAGCAGTGGCTGGACTAGTCAGGTAGAAACCACATAAAATCACCAATTATAAAGGATTTCTATAAAGAAACAGTGAGTTTACTCAAATAGCTAAAATACTCTCCTATCTCAAGTCTAATCACAGCATTAATAGCAGGATCTAGTCTATTTCCAACTGAGAAGTACACTTGGAAAGAAGATTGATCCAGGAATACAGTGACCTCATC